TAAATATCTGTATACATGTCCAAAATATAATTCTAGAGACGTCGCAGAGATATCTGGATATCTCTGGAAGATCTTTTGAATATTTGTGCTGTATAAATTTTAATATATATATTAAATGTTTGATGTAAACTTGCCCAATAACAACCTGGTACATGTACATGTACCAAACGAACGCCAAAAATCGCCTAATGTCACTACTAGAGTCACTACCCACATAGCACAAAAATATTAAAGCAATATTAAATATGACATTAGGGAAAATATTTGAGTAACATTTGTAAATGTGAGAAGAATATTATTCTGATCTTAAAATGTTACTTTCCGGAACATTAAAGAAATGATGCAACCAAATATTAATACAAGGTTGGTCAATATTACATTTAATGTTGCTTTGTGCTGAAAATAATATTACTTTTAATACCATAAAATGTCAGGATAATATTAAAAAAAAGGAAAAGAAAATGTATATCCTTTATATATTTCATTTTTATTGAAAATTATGATAAAATATAAGAAAGAGGAACAAAATCATAAAGAACATATAATACTTTCCATATATAAACATTATATGCATTAAACATTATATGCATTAAACATATAATGCCACGCTGAAAAACGTTAATCATAATAACTAAGATTTAATTCAATAATATGTTCAACTAAATTGTTTGGTGAATATAACTACCCACATAACACGTAATATATATAATATCACAGTAATATTTCCGTAATATTTTTGCGATATTACAATATTACGGAAATATTACTGTGATATAATATAATATTACGTGCTATGTGGATAAATATTTAGTCAATATGAACAAATGTTGTAATTATATATATATATATATATATATATATATATATATATATATATATTTATTTTATTATATATATTTGTTGTGCATACTTCGATCTTCGTATATGTCTTCTCTGCGCATCCTCGAATAATATGCGCATGATATAAATTTCATTATATAAAAATATTATATTTATATATGCATTCAAAATCAATACAATCTTAGCAGGCAATGTTACATCAATATAGTACATGTTGCTTTCACGTTAAATTTTCATACATACATTTGATATATTACTGTAATATGATATTGCTATTACAAAAATGTAACTATTTTGCTACGTTACCCCAATATTTTAGTAATATTAACATTGCTACTCTATAATATCGGACATTAATATAACATTACATTGACATTCAATAAAATATAACTTACTGCAAATATTCTGGCAACATTCTAACAATAATAACGTTGACTTTTGTGCTATGTGGGTAACAGTACCACTATTAACATTAATAGTGTCACTATCAGCACTAATAGTGTAACTAACAATGTCACTATTGGCACTAATAGTGACACTACTAGCACTGCTAGTGAAACTATTAGTGACACTATTACCACTAATAGTACTTTTTTTGTAAGGGCCAGCCTACGACTTCTATTGTATTATAGACCTCGCTTAAGCGTTCATACAAATTTTAAAAGCGTATATACTCTCAGAAAATTCTCATCGAATCGTTTATAAAGAGTTTTATTTCGCCAGGACGTCTCATGTTAATCAATTGTTCTCAATTATTTAACTTTACTTTAACAATTTTTTAAAACCTTACCTATTTCTATTTTTTCTTTGACGGCTTCTTTCGATAACGCACATGCAATAATAATAATGGAAGAATTATTGATTACTTGAGAGAAGAATGGAAAATATAATACTCGAAAATCGTACCCCTCCTTCGTCATATACTAACTGCAAGTTCTCTACACAGTATCTACATAAATGCTCAGTCTACGTATATATGTCGTTCTGGTGGAAAAAAGGTGATTGCGTCAATAAATGTATCGGAAAAGCGTAATCGGAAAACACTTAGCATTCAACAAAAAATACTACAAATAGTTGTTAAACTGCTTTCTCTAGGTTACTTTCACTATGGTTACCTAACTACTTTCTCTGATGGGTACTTATTACAAACCCAGATAGCACAAAATATTTATAAAATATTTACAAAATATTTATAAAATATTTACAAAATATTTATAAAATATTTACAAAATATTTATAAGATTTATTTGAATATTTTATAAATATTTACCAAAATATTTCTTAAATATTTTTATGATCTTAGCATCAATATATATATATATATATATATATATATATATATATATATATATAATGTGTGTGTGTCATAAATATTTATCATAAATATTATAAAAATATTTATTAAAATATATACATTTATATACTTTTTTCTCTTTTCTAAACTTTTTTTAAATATATATGTCCTTAGTTTTCACTTTATATTGTTTCACACGTTACTTAATTTAAGTTAAATTTTACTTCGAAAATTTGCTTACCATTGCTGAGATTCGAATTTGAGACCTCTGATTCTTGAGTCATTCACCTTACCTACTGCGCCACTATCACTTTGAGAGACGCTTTGTATTGTATATAGTACATTCATGTACAAAAACAAATGATTTATTTAAAAGCAGAGAATAGAGATATTTTAAATGTATGTTTGAAAAGTATGTAAAAAGTATATTTAAAAAATATTTATTTGTTTCAAAAGTAAATAAAATACAAATAAATCATTTTGTAAATTTAAAAAATTGTTTTCTGATAATAAAAGAAACTTTAATTTGAAACACAAAATGATACTTTTAATATTAGAAAATAACTTATTTAGATTTATAAAATGATTTACTTGTACTTTATTTACTTTTAAAACAAGCAAATATTTATTTAAATTTAGTTTTTACATAAAAAAATTAATTTTCTTCTTGTAAAAAAATCATTTTTTCAAGAAAGGACCCCGCACAAATCTTATGGAAATTGAATTTCGATCGAATTAGCTAAAGATTTGATATGTTGTAAATCTTGTCGTCCTGATAAAAAGTCTCCACAGGTACAATCCCCTGCAATGAACCGTTTGACCTCTACGAGGCGTTATTTTTCAAAACAGGCTAATACTACAATATCTTATTTCCAACGGGTACGGTGCATTCCTACATTATTTATACTTTTTATGTATTTTTTTAAGTAAAAAGTTATAAGAATATTATTGACTTTATTGTTTCTTACAAAAAAGTTATAAAGATATGGAGGTCAATAACTTGATTTTAGAAATTTAAATCAATGCTGTGTTGCTTTATGTCTAAGGCGGGAAAAAAAATGAACACAATCATAGGGTGCATGCAAAGAACCGCTTTATTTATATTGAGTAGGCCGTGAGTTGTGAGAGGCGAGGGGACTCACAATAATCAAGCACCCCAATTAGTGAGAGGCGAAAGGATTCACAATAATCAAGCATTCTAACTTTTGAGAAGCAATAAGTCAATATAACTTTCCTTTTTATCATTATAACTTTTTACTTAAAAAAATATATAGAAAGTACAAATAATGATGTGGAAATGCACCGTACTCGTTGAAAATAAGATATTGTAGTATTATGGCTTCTGCACACAGAACGCGGTAATCATAATAAATAAATCTTAGTTCCTTTTGCCCTGATTTGCTAATTAAATATTACTCTACTCTCCGAGTAGGGTTTCTGAACGCAGCCCATGACTATGTAAAGGTAAATTTTATATATATTAATATTATTTAAAAAATATTATAGAGAAAAATATGGGTGCTTTCCAATTGCAATATCCCTAGACACTTTCATGCACACGGCGACATAAGTTGCATTCCAATTGTCGTAATCATCGACACAACACTATACATCCGTACTCAGCTCGAGGGTTACTAGTCGGCTGTGTAAACTAGTGTTTTCTAATGAAAATTAAAGTTAATAAGCGTAGCGGCTTGAAAAGAGACTGGCATTTGCGACGTGAAGTATATCTTTTTTATTATTTAGATTTTATTATTTATTATTAAAAAATACCAAAATATAAGCACAGTTGAAAAATAATCCTAACCCTATCCGACATACGTACACATTGGCTGCGTTCCGAAATTCACTGCCAGTATTGAAATTCTATAGTATACGTGACATGAACTATAGAATTTCAGTACTGGCAGTGAATTTCGGAACGCAGCCATTAGTACACACTTTGTGCATTTCTGTGTACATATGTGTCAAGATGTGTTAAGCAATTAAAATACCCTATATAACTTATATATAGAATATAATAAGTTTTGTTTTTATACTAATATTGTGGAATTGTATGAAATCGTATTTTCATAACTTATGGCTCCTGCACATAGAACGCGGTAATGCTTGCCGCGCGGCGGAAGTTCGCCAATCAATAGTTAGCCAATCAATATGCTGCTTTCCGTAATAACCTTCTAACTCTTACGGAAAAACGACATATTGATTGGCTGTCGCGTGGACTTTTGCCGCGCGACAAGCATTAGGGCTATCGCACACAAATTGACATAACTGCATATACATAGCATAAGACCGTATGTACCAATAAGCATCGAGTATTAAGTCGCCATATTGGTGTTCGATGCTTAATATTCGATGCTCATTGGTCCATACGATCTTATGCTATGCATATGCAGTTATGTCAATTTGTGTGCGATAGCCCTAATACTCGATGCTCATTGGTACATACGGTCTTATGCTATGCATATGCAGTTATGTCAATTTGTGTGCGATAGCCCTTACCGCGTCCTGTGTGCAGGAGCCATTATTGTAATACAGTATCTATATCTCAGACAGCACGCAATATTTACAAAATATTTTAGAAATACAGACATTAAATATTTTATAAATATTCTAATGTCCAATATTTTCAGGTATAAAGAAGATTATGATAAATATTTTTAAAGGTCGTTCTACATTAGTTGCAAGCCGATCGCAAGCAGACGTAATTCTTATTGCGACAGCCAATCGGAAGTATCAATGGTGCTATTGACGCTTCTGATTGGCTGTCGCAACAAGAGTTGCAATCGACTTGCAACTAATGTAGAACGACTTTACGTAATTGTAGAATAGCCTTTACGGCTACGGCAATTTGTGTATAAAAACCCTAATGTATAAAAGTGTCGAAAGTGCAAGCAACGTGAACAAACGTATCATTAAAAAGTACATGAAAAAAGTAAACGAATTTGCTATAAGATCACCGGTCAAAACTTAGTTGTTCACTTTTGTCATTTTTACTACGGTTTGTTATTATACAATTGACTCCTACTTGTCGCGTTTCTAAATGCATCGAAACTGATTTCCCTCCCCCCTTTTGACACACGTAGCGTGTACGTTCGTCTTTTGTCGTACGTAATATTGCTTGTACAAAGCTTTCTTCTTTTTTTTCTTCTTTTATTACATGTTGTCATCGATTTTCACAACTTTTTCGGAAATTTGCTTCCCCGTTCGATCTACACTCCACTTATAATAGAAAATCTGAAAGAGCAGAGTGTATATTTGACGGCACGACGGATGTAGAGACTCGACGCGAGTCTCCTCGTAACAGATTGTCTGAAAGATGCAAATGCAAGATACCGAAGGCGCCGATGGTAAGTAAACGTATGCTTACATTGTTCACGCGCTGACAATGTTTAGTTTACGATCGTTGATCACGTTGACTAGTTGCTTTGAAATTGTTGATCATAGACTTCCTTTTGCCAAGTGACATAACCTCTATATTAACCATTTCCAAATTAACAGTTTTTCGAACTTTAATATTCTGTCGGTTTTAATAAAATTACAACATAAATAATCATAACATTCGTGTCTTACTTGTGTCGTAATTGATGAATTGGGCTTATAGTTCCGACAAGTTCCGATTCTCGTAAAGTTTGCTGAAAATATCACAAGCGATCCTGAAAAAGAACTTGTGAAAATATGTTGTCTTTATGCGAACGAATTTATTGAAATAATGACGTTCGCAAAGTTACGTATAGTGAACATGGCACAATTTGGACTGTGACATGTATCGCGGAGGTTAATATATTTAGAATAACGTGTGATCGAAAACACCTTTCGATCTATATGTAACTTGATTTAATTACTTTTTGTTACTTCTAGTGGCAGAACTATTCGTTTTTTTTTCTTATTTTTGAAAAATATTTATTTTGTTATCAAGCTAGAAGTGCATATGAATCTTTGTTTCAGGTTCACCATGGAATAATTCAAGTGGCTGCGAGGAAGATCGCAGGCCACTTCAAAAAGAAGGCAAGAAATCAAATGTGTTACCGCTATGGGGCAATGAGAGGACTATGAATTTAAATCCTTTGATACTAACCAACATACAGTCGTCGCACTATTTCAAGGTGAATCTGTATGAACTTAAGACCTATCATGAGGTAATTGACGAGATCTACTACAAGGTATCGCATCTGGAGCCCTGGGAAAAGGGCAGCAGGAAGACTGCGGGTCAGACTGGCATGTGTGGAGGCGTGAGTATGTTTTCTTAGAGAAACAGCATCCAATTTTTATTTCTCTTTGCCTCTTCTCTTTCTGCACCTTCATTCTTTTTTCTCTTTATCATTAATGAGTTTGTTGGAAATGTGAGAGGCTTGAGAGATACAGTACCCGCACATTGCACAGACGTGTCATATTTGCACTGAAAAATATTCATACAGCGCACTAGCCGACAATCTGGATGATGTGAATCACAGTGATATCACTGGGCGAATTTTACACATTTTGATGTATCGATCCTCAATAGATGAATCTTTCGCTTTTGCCGGCCATCCTTTTCTTTCCGTACCATTAATTGCTAAGGCATAAATAATTTGATATTATGTTCCTCTGTAAAAATTCAATTTACTGTAAAAAGTGGATGATTCGTCGAATTAAAGAGCTGTCAAGTATGGTGCCACCGAAAAGTTTACATGTGAAACGCGTGAGGTCGCGGCAGCACGCGACATCCAAGTTGACAAGGTACATCAATGTAGAGCCAATAGACTCTAAAAACATATTCCCATATATATATATATATATATATATATATATATATATATATATATATATATATATATACACACACACACACACACACACACACACACATACATACATACACACACACACACACATACACACATATCCATCATGTGTCAAGATATTGATTACCATTGTGGTCGAACATTTTAGGGATTCGAGCACCAACGGCGAGCAGGATATATCTCTTGCTCGCTTCCTCTCTTTTTCACTTAACACAATCACCATCTTACTTATTGCAGAGTAGCATGTATTCGGTCCATATATTGTATGTTAACACGAATGTAACTTAACTGACTGAGGGGGGTGTAAATTTAGCGGTTCATGCAGGTGCGAGGCGTAGGCGCAGGAGGCATCGTTTCCACGGCTTATTGCCTATTGTATAAACTCTTCACACTGAGGCTGACCAGAAAGCAATTGAACGGGCTTATTAATCATCCAGACTCGCCGTATATCCGCGCCTTGGGATTTATGTACATTAGGTGAGTCTAGTTTGTCACAATAGGTAAAGACAACCGCACGCGCATTACTCTCCTCTCCTCTCCCTCCCTCCCTCTCTCCTCTCCTCTCTCTTCCCCGAAATGAATTTATAAAAACAACAGAAAACGACCCAAGTCGTTCGAGAATTCCTGTTTTTTTAATGAAAAAATTGCGTGAATCGTCAATTAACGATCGTCAAAGAACTCCAACATTTTTGCTTAAAGAAAATTTTAAATCGATTAGAAGATTAAGATTACGACATTCTGTCATGGGACATCTGGATTGAACTGTAGCGCCAGTGTTAACGAAAAGTTACAAATATTCTTCGGAATCTTCATTTGTTTCGATGTAATCTAAGTGGTACATGCGTAACATATATTCGAGTCAAAATAAACTGTTGATCACAATAGATACACACAGCCGCCGGCAGACTTATTCAGCTGGTACAGCGACTACTTGGATGACGACGAAGAGTTGGACGTGAAAGCTGGCGGCGGACAAACCATGAAGATGGGCGATATCCTCAAGCAGTTCCTTACCAAACTCGAATGGTTCTCTACATTATTCCCACGAATACCTGTGCCAATCCAAAAGGATTTGGAGTTACGGCTGGCGGAGCGTTTCCCACAACAGACGGTGAACGCGCGTAATGCCAAACCACCAATCACGCTTAATAGTTCGCACGGCAAGTACGGCAATAGTGTAGGAAGTTGCGGTGGGCGAAAGGACAACGGCAACATGACGGCAACGCGCAATCAGCAGCAACATCAACAGCATCAGCAGCAGCACCATCAACAGCAGCAGCAACCCCGACACATTCCCGACAGCGAAGCTCAGTGGGGCGAGGCGGAGCGTACGAGCCACTGGCGTGCCAGGTGCGTCCACGTGGTACGAATACAACGATCACGTATTAATACAATTCGTCTGGACAGTTTCCTAACGATTGCGACGAAGTTTAGAAAACGCTGTCTCTAATAGATTTTTACCGACTTGGCGAGACGAGATCGATTAATCTTTTCGCGAATGTAGATCGAGTCTCGCTGAGTCGAGACAACTGACATACTTCCGTTCGGACGTGTCTCTTTCCAGATCCGATGAGGATCGTAAGGACAAGCACCGGGAGCGTGATCGGGAGCGAGAAAGACAACGAGAACGCGATCGAGACAGAGCTCGCGAACGGGAAAGAGAGAGAGAGAGGCACTGCCGAAGATCTGACAGTCGCGACAGAAATAGAAGGCAAAGGGATTATAGAAGCCGCAGCAGAGACAAGTTGCATAGAGATCGGAGTAGAGATCGTCATCGCGACAGAGATCGACATCGAGACAGGTGAAGGGGCGACTAAACATGCGAGATTCGTTCGCTTTGACTGTTTCGATATGTTATACTTGCTATTACCTAATAATTATATCGCGAGCCATTGCTACTTACGTTTGAAAAATACGTGCGCTCATGATATATTCTACATTCTTCGCCATTTTATACACGTGGAAGATAAGCATGTTAATCTTTCAGGAGAGGATCACCGTACGATTATGCCGCGGAGTTGGCTCGTGAGCGTGAAAGACAACGAAGAGAATGAGCAAGACTCACTACATATACCGTGTACATATACGGACGTAATTATTTGTACAAGCGTGTAACTATGGGAATTGAGAGCAACAATGAACTAGAACCGAGCCATACCACTTTTCATCATTATCATCATCGTCATCGACAGAACGTCATCGTCATCATCACTTTCACCTCCGTGTGTATAACGTACGCTCTCACTGGAAAACTTACTTTGGGGCGATGTGTAACCTTAAATCCGATTTGTCACGCGATGTAGTTTACATGTTTTTATAAAATAAATTCATCGCCGACACGCTCTTGTCAATGTCTTTGGCCGATCCTATATGTTTTACATTGTAGTCTGATGTCGAAACACATGCAGTCGATGGTCCAATGAGAATTTATTTTCCAAAGACAAGTTCTCATTTTTCACGCTTTTCCGTGGTGTATCCTCCGCCCGAAATTTCCGCGGTTTCGTACGCGGTATATCCTCCGCCCGAAATTTCTTCAATTCGGGAGATGCTTGCAAGTATGTGTGTATATGTATACACAATTGGCTGTTCTTTTCTAGCTGCACTGCTGAACTGGTGCAATAAGTTAAAATGAGAAAAAAATATATATTTATCTCATTCTAACTTATTACACCAGTTCAGCAGTGCAGCTAAAAAGAACAGACCAATATTTATCAATATAATGCGTTGCACTGATTATTTAATCGTTACCGATTCTAAGAGCGAGATTATAGCTATCAATTCGGTTGTCTGAGCCCCTGGGCACATTAATCTCTATGACAATGATCTTGCGGATTTTCTTGCATCGCAAGCAATACTGCGAAGAAGTACAAGTTCTGTTATCCAATATGAAAGTTGTTATTTTTTCTCTAATTTCTGCTCAACAATTTTGAAACATTACAAACAGATCTCATATTCTAAATTGGAGCAAGCTGTATCATACGGGTGTATATCAGTTGGACACAGTCCAATCACAAGTCGCTGTTCCAAGGGACCCTACAAATGTCTCTAATCATACGGTGCTGTAATTGGCTGTGTCCAAATGCACCGTGCCAAGTGCACCGCTCCCTACAACTGTTGTGTCTGCTGAACGTGCCCATTATCGAATAATCGAGAAGAATTTCCAGTTGCTTGCGTTTATGTAAAATAATATTATTTGTCGGATGTTTAAGGCTGGATATTGAGAAAGAAAGAGAGAATAAGAGAATATTAGATATTTGATCGTTTAGCGAATAATTTGTTAAAAAGTTTATAATCATAATAATCTATCGTGGAAGGTGACTTATTAAAAATATGTACATTCGTTATTTAAACAATTGGTTTTAATCGCTTAGGAAATAATAAACGTGTCAATTGCGAAGCTCTTGTGTCCCCGACTCAGCTACCATACTTGATGACGTCAGGAAACAGTTCATATGTGCTGTTGTAACATACGCTCCAATAGGTTAGTTTCATTTTTCTCAATGTTTTTAGCGTACGTTTAACATTTGAGTTTTTAATTAATTGTTAAAAAAGGTTTAATCTATTTCTGGAAACAATTTTAAGAGAGGAGATATTCCGTTTTGATTCATAGATTAAATCTTGACTATTGTGAAAATGTTTACAAGATCTTAGTATCTACTGTCCTTGATTTTCTCTAGTAATACTGACACTAGTAGCAAACAAAACTAAGTTTAAGCTATGTGCGTCTATTAATTATTAGTTTTAGTCTATTCATTATTAGTTATCATTAGAAGCAGTCAAACTAAATAGGATCTTGAACTAAACAGAAAGATCTTGCAAATATAAAACTTTGACTATATCCTTATTGTAATTTTAAAGTTTGACTCCTCACTGATGTTAATTTTCTGTATGTTTTATCTGATTGTACTGTAGAATAATGGCATATTTTTTTCTTATTTGGTGACTAGGCCACCATGTCTTTAGTCTTTTCTGAAGATATTTAGTGGCATTCGCGACACACTGTCCTTTTCTTCTAATTTCTTTTCTCTTAATCTTTTCCAATTCTTTATTCCTAAATGTTCCTTAGAAACAACCTTGAGGCATTCTCCCAAAAAAATCACAGATTATGTCCAAACAAGTTCGAACACATGCCATAGCTGCTAAATCAGAATTTAGAATAATGGCACATATACTGAAAGAGGTTAATTTTGTACACAAGAAAGAATAATCTGTTATGTCACATAAGAACCAGTTTTAAAAATTTCTCTTTATATCCATAGACCAGTATCAAAAGTCTTAAAACTAGGATGGAATTTCTGAAATCTTCTGTTTTTAATTTACAAGCTTTTTTCTATAGTTCAAGCTCTTATTTGCTCCAAGATATGCAGATATTTTTCTGTTAACAGATTAGATTGTTTACTGGATTAACTATCTTGTATTGATTAACTATCTTGTAATTGTAGGACTGGCAAGACTAACAAGAGAGAACTTTGTAAACAACTAAGATGAATAGTCCAAATAGAAGCTACAAGTATGTCAAGCCAAAAACTGGCAGAAATTTAGTACCTGGATTTTCTTCGAATTCTAAAATATTTCCTAAAGCACCAATTGAAAGTACACATATAGAACCTCAGTCACTTACTGCAAATGTTTATATTAACCCAAATTTTAAGCTGCAAAATCCAGCAATGCATATCAATCCAAAAATTCATCCTAAGCCTTCGATACACGTTAATCCAAAAATGGTTCATGATATTGCCAGTTCAAATCAAAATTTACAAAGTAACGCAGTGGGTACAATGAAGATAAATACTAATAGTAATATTACACAAACAAATATCAAAAGATCTATATATGTTAATCCAACATTACTAAAGGGTTTGTCTTCTTCCGATTTTAATTTTAATGAGGTACATAGAAGAGAGCTACCTACTTGCTCAAAGATGTCCGTTAAAAATATGTATTATCGGAAAGTTACTCCAAAAAAAACTGTTTGCGACCCTAGCGTTGTGCTCTTATCGCGCAGCAAGCTTGTTAGAATAACTGACGCTACAAATAAGTCATCAGGAATTTCTACAGCATCCCAATATAGGTTACGAAAACCTACAAGTTTAACAGAGAAAAAACCTGGTACTATCACGCAAAAGATCGTAAAAGCTACATCTTTAGTGAATAATGCATTGCAACGAACAGACATGAGGCATAATATACCAAAATTAGATATTGATAAATCTAAAGTGACTAAATATAAAATAGATAGGACTATATTACATGCACCGAGAATTAAGAGAGATCAGAGTCCTGTGAAAAGAAGTAAAGTTATGTAAGTATAGTTTGTAACAAAATTATTGTGCAGATTACGAGATACACAATTAATATATGTTTATGTTAAAGAAACAACACAGTAGGATTGGTTACGATCGGCGGTATCGTATATAGATCTTCCAAAAATAGATTAATCCGAAGAAGCTGCTTGTTGAAACGTGTGTATGCCACTATCTTCAACATCTTAACTTTTTAATACATACATATATATACATATTACACAAATTTATGGGAATTTAGGAAAACGATCGACAAATGGAGACGACGATAAACTTATTGCTACTAAAAAGCCACGAAACAACAAAGAAATTCTGAATTGTACATTAGAAATGAACACTACTGGTAAAACAAGACGTGTTTCCTATATATCACCCAAAACTATTCATAAAAATAATATCAGGTGAATACTACACTTTGAATTGGACAACATAAAAATATTATCAGAGATTCTACATAAATGTATTAATCGGTCGGTTCTTCTTTCGACAGCAACAAAGTGAAGCAGAGAAGCATTCAAATTTTACGAAATAAAATGCGCAAGAATAATCAGCCCTGTTTGATTTTTCAACGATTTGGGTATTGCCAAAATTACAAGAATGGAGTGTGCCCCAAACAACACGATAAGAAACAAGTGTCAATTTGCAAAAAGTAAGTATACGATGTCTGCAATTAATAATTAAAAACATGACTTTAAAATCGGTGCAGAGATTTAATATTCTCAATCTCTAGATTTTTGCAGGGAAAATGTCTTTTAAACAAATGCCCATTATCGCACGACGTCGGACCTGAAAAAATGCCTACATGCAAATATTTTCTTGATGGTTGCTGTACGAGAGACGCCTGTCCATACCTTCATGTTAAAGTATCTTCGAATACTTCAATTTGCATAGACTTCTTACAAGGATATTGTGCCAAGGGAAACGAGGTAACACGTTAACTTTATTCCAGTCGAAATCAGTCACGTTTTCGAGTTGAAAATTTAGTAGCTATCCTCTCTTTGCTTGTCAGTTACTTTTGTCTTACGGACATATCATTTTGTCGATTATATACACGCGTGCAGTATATTTTTATATATTTTTAATACAATTTTCTAATATAATGATATATTTTTGTGCACATCTTCCTTTTTATACTTTTTAATAATGAACATTAATGTTGGTATCGGGTTGTTCTGGCTTTAACAGTGCCAGCGACGTCACGAATACCTGTGTCCTGAGTTCGATAAGACGGGGAACTGTAGCAAAGGTAAGTACTGCGCTTATCCTCATAAATCACATTCATCTAATGTCGAGGATAATACTAAATATTTGACCAAAAGTATGCGCGATGTAAAAAAATATCAAACTACATCCGTTGCTAAAGTCGATATCGAGACCTCAAATCTGGAATGTAGATTGAGATATTACGAAACAACTGATAATTCTACCGACTCTCTCGAAAAGAAGAAAGAAAATATTTTAAAGGAGCTGCAAATTATGAAAACTACCTTAAGTAATGCTCTGACTAGCGATGTGGCGAGTCAGACGCAAATTAACAAAACGAACGAGTCTATGATCAAAGAAGACGAATGTAAAACAATGACTAATATTATTAAATATCGGGCACCCATCGGCTTGTTACCCGCTTATATCCCTATCAATTGATGTCCGTGTAATTTTAGAGAATATATATATTCGATTTAAACCAACTAAAATTATAGAAATTAAATCAATGTGGTGTTTTAACGAGAATACCTGTACTTACGTTTCAAGATTTTATTTTTTAAGAACACGTTATATATTGGACAATTTTTCACGCAATATTTTTAAAAAGCTAAATTGTGTCGATTGTTCTGTATTTATTGAATAATATATGCGTTTATACCAATTGATGCTTGTACCTATGTGAAAATTAATAATTAAAATAGAACGTGTAATATAAATATGAATACACACGCGCGCATACAAATTAAATAATTTCTTAACTCACATAATGCTCATAAACACCTTTTTATCGACAAAAAAAGGGCTATTGTCTGTGATAATTATTACACAACATATTTCACCAGAATGTCTCTAATTATCTATCATTACACAGGCATTTACACACACACACACACACACACACACACATATATATATATATATATATATATATATATATATATATATCATTAACCCTTAATTTACATTTTTTATATAATAGAAACAATTTACGATGATATATTTGAACGAAGTAATAATAAATAATAATAATAAAAATTTTTCAATACATAAAATAATCTATATATATATCTACATAATCTTAATATTATTATTAAGATATTTTTGAGCTTTTTTATACTCATATTATGTATTTTTCTTTCTTTTTCTTTCTCTCTCTTTCTTTCTATGCATATCGTATAGTCGCGTATCGAGTTTTTATCAATTTAAAATAAAAGTTTTTCCTTTCAAGATTTGGAAACATACACTAAATACATCTGTTAAACGTTTACGGAATACTTTATTTTGTCGAAAGTAACTTTTCAGTTAGTCATAATCTGATTTCCTGTTTGCTCTGATCATTGGACAAATTGATAGTAACATTGGTTAAACAAACATACTTTGATCAATGAAATGTACATAATTAAACTCCGTACATTTTCTTTAATGAAAAAAATATGTATTTTCTTTCTTCTTTTGTATATACATATAAATTTGAACATTGTATTTCAACTGCATCATGTAAATCCAATTGTATTATGTACAAAAAGTTAAAATTATATTTTATACAATGTTATATACATAATATGCGATATTTAAATAAGAATTGGTTGTACTTGACACATATATATTTCAATAAATATTTAAATAAATAAGAACATATTTATTTCTTTGGTGTCATGCTAAATAAAAAGACCAGTGTGTTACTTTTACAAAAGTAACACTATGAAGTTTTTGTTGGTATAAAAGTCTGAAGAATTGCAAATTTATTTTATATATGTATGAATATATATACGTTAAATTTTTCTTATATAAAGTAACAATATATAGAGAGACAAACTTGTTACACACATACTCTCACTGAGAAGTATATAGAACTTGTAGAAATTACATGTGAATTCTGTATGTAATACATTTATCGACTCTACATTAAAAATCATCAATATAAAGTATTTATTTGCAAATTTGTAATATACATTACTTATATGTATTTAAAAATAAAGTTAATATCTTAATAAATGATACTAGTAATACAGAATTTCAACGAAGAAGCGAGTGTTAAAATGCTAGAAACACTAATGCTGAAGTGTGACAACTTCTTAAAGTAAGATGACTGATATTCTGCAAAAAGTATCACTTTGTTAAATTTTAATCGATAGTTTCTTGAACCAATCCAGTTTTTGAAAACACAAGATATGCTAAGTGTTAAAATTGATAAAAACTTCTCCATACACTTCTTTTTCTTCCATTTTCCTTATTTATATATAAGAATCCAGTTTGTTGAATGATTGTAAGCTAGTAAAATTGGACTATGTAGTAACAAAGATATATTCTTCTGATCAACAGATGCTGATACTGTCAACCATTGCTCTAGCCAACTTCTCATACTTTCTATGGACATATTTGCAGGATTTACACCTCTAAAAGATAATGCCTGAAAAATACATCAATAATGAAATAACGCATTAGCCCATACTATACACGAAACAAAGTTTACTTGAGAGTTAAAAAAGAGAAATCCACTTTATTCTATATATTTTACAAAAAGTATCTACCCATCGCATTGCATCACTAGACATCGCTTTTACTCCTCCCTCTCGTATTATGGCACGATCCATTCGTAATATTAGCATACCTCTCTCCATCAATCTTTTCCTCTTGAAGAGTCTCCAAGAGCACATACCATGTATTGCTAATAATTCCTTCTACACAAAATACTTTATGTTTTTAAGGAAACATGTAGAGATGTATGCACTTAGAAATAATGAGGACTGTTTAGCTTACCATATGTTTCCTTTTGAGAGCATTTAGAGAATATGGTGGGCCAGAAAAAAGCACAGAGCAGGCTATAATATCCTTGGTTGTTGGATGTGTACCACTACCCAGACAAGCTATAGCATCTCTCCATTTTACCTTGAGTGTTGGATCGCCGATGGTCTTGAGTTCCGCTTGTATACACCTGAACAATGGTCTGTTGTGCCTCAGTCTCCTCTTGTGATCGTGCAGCATGAAGTCAAGCTTTTGTTGCAGCGTCCAGAAATGGGACGTCAGTAGATAGCGCGGGAAGTAAAGGGCTAAAGGAAAAATAACGTAATTCGTAAACGGTACAGCCGACAGCAGAAACAACGGCGACAGTTTCCTCAGGTCTCTCGGCATTGTGTGCATCAACTGCAGTTCCTCCCTCGTCAAGCTGTTAGTGCCGTTCGACCCTTGCTTCTTTATCGCGTAGACGAACCTTTTCAAGTCCGCGTACACGTCTCTGCTGCCGACGCTGAACACGCGATACACATGCATTGTGCGCGGGAATTTTTGATCCAGCGTATGCTCGTAGTTCTTGATGTAATCCATGTACCTGTCAAACCAGTATTTCTTTAGGTTAGCCACTTTGTCAGTTTGTTTGTCTAGTCCTTTTTCGGTCTTCACGAGACTTCGTTGCATCGGTATACGTTTTATCAGACGCTCCAATACGATCGTATTCTCTCGCATGAGTGTCCTGCATGCTGTCTTGTACATTTTGGGTATCCTCTATCGACAATAAAGAATGAAACATACAAGGGGTAAGCTGGAGAAAACTCTTCGAGATTTTGGCAGATACAGAACACAAAACTTTCAATATATATTTCAATGTATTCTAATTTTATATATCGACAATCCCTTGTGCTTATCGCATCGACCTGATGCGATAGAAAAGCCTAAGAGAGCGGTCACGCCGGCATTTTGATATCGCTTTGCATGACTGGCTTCATACGCCATCTTTCTATGTCTATTTTTAAATTGAAATAACTTCTCGCTACTCATTTACTGACAAAATCTTCGTTTAGTGCGTGTCCTTGTAGAATTTTTATGTTCATAATTTTTATGATTGAGAAGCAGTGCCGTGCATGAGTTTGCGATCTCTGTTCACATCGATATATAGAATTATTTGTATTTTTGGGACGATTTTCGAGAACTACGCCTACTTTTTTTTCTATCGTCTTTCCTATTCGTCCTTTGAGCGTAGTACGATTGGCAGTCAGTTTTAGGACAGTCGACTTCGCAAGGGTGCCATTATATGAAGCGCGGAAACGCGGAAGACAAAATCTTACTAGATTTCCGTGTTCTGCAAATTGAATCATTTCTTCCCGTACGTTGAAAAAGCGGAAAAGCGGAAAGCCCAAAACTTTTCTCTATTGTCTTTTCATCCAAGGAACCAAGGTATGAATTCCAAAAAAATATCAGGTCCGAACGTGTTTGAACACGACTTAATGTAACGGCAGTTAGATTGAACAACTTGTGATAACTTGTGACAATGGATTTTTCCGCGCTTGTTCCGCGACTTTATTTCTCCTTATATTACATGGAGCACAATTTGCGCGGAAAAGCGGAAGGGTTTAGTGACAAATAAACATCTGTATTCATTTTTTAAAATTGTATTAACTTAATCTACTGCAATTTTTACTAATATGTTTATCTTTTCAGCTTATCTGTTGAATACAAACATTTTAATTAATAGATACCGTTAAAAATTAATATTTTATAATTCCCCATTTCCGCTTAAAATATGCCTCATGGCTCCTGTACACAGGACGCGGTAATGCTTGCCGCGCGGTGGAAGTTCGCGCAACAGCCAATGAATATGCTGCTTTCCGTAATAATCTTGTAGTTCTTACGGAAAAACAACATATTGATTGGCTGTCGCGCGGCAAGCATTACCGCGTCCTGTGTGCAGGAGCCATATGTCGATAGTTAAGTGGACTAAACTAACCAACCAAACGCTACCGTGGTCACGAAACAAAAAAACGCCTAAGTAATCCCGGTAGAGAGCTCGAGTATTGTTGTTGTTGTAGCTATGGTCGTGAAACTAAGGCTGATATTTCACGTGTCGTACGACAAGCTTTTTGGATACGTTCATTGGTTGACGAACAGAGAACCTAGAAATACTCTATTCGCCAACCAATAAACGTATCCGAAAAGCTTGTCGTACGACACGTAAAATATCAGCCTAAAGGGACGTCTACATTGAAAGTAAATAG